GAAATACTCACGTATGAAATACTCACCTGTGAAATACTCACCTGTGAAACACTCACCTGTGAAATACTCACCTGTGAAACACTCACCTGTGAAATACTCACCTGTGAAATACTCACCTGTGAAATACTCACGTATGAAATACTCACCTGTGAAATACTCACCTGTGAAACACTCACCTGTGAAATACTCACGTATGAAATACTCACCTGTGAAATACTCACGTATGAAATACTCACCTGTGAAATACTCACCTGTGAAACACTCACCTGTGAAATACTCACCTGTGAAATACTCACCTGTGAAACACTCACCTGTGAAACACTCACCTGTGAAATACTCACCTGTGAAATACTCACCTGTGAAACACTCACCTGTGAAATACTCACCTGTGAAACACTCACCTGTGAAATACTCACCTGTGAAACACTCACCTGTGAAATACTCACCTGTGAAACACTCACCTGTGAAATACTCACCTGTGAAACACTCACCTGTGAAATACTCACCTGTGAAACACTCACCTGTGAAACACTCACCTGTGAAACACTCACCTGTGAAATACTCACCTGTGAAATACTCACCTGTGAAACACTCACCTGTGAAACTCACCTGTGAAATACTCACCTGTGAAATACTCACCTGTGAAATACTCACGTATGAAATACTCACCTGTGAAATACTCACCTGTGAAACACTCACCTGTGAAATACTCACCTGTGAAATACTCACCTGTGAAATACTCACCTGTGAAATACTCACGTATGAAATACTCACCTGTGAAACACTCACCTGTGAAATACTCACGTATGAAATACTCACCTGTGAAATACTCACGTATGAAATACTCACCTGTGAAATACTCACCTGTGAAACACTCACCTGTGAAATACTCACCTGTGAAATACTCACCTGTGAAATACTCACCTGTGAAACACTCACCTGTGAAACACTCACCTGTGAAACACTCACCTGTGAAATACTCACCTGTGAAATACTCACCTGTGAAACACTCACCTGTGAAATACTCACCTGTGAAACACTCACCTGTGAAATACTCACCTGTGAAACACTCACCTGTGAAACTCACCTGTGAAATACTCACCTGTGAAATACTCACCTGTGAAATACTCACGTATGAAATACTCACCTGTGAAACACTCACCTGTGAAATACTCACCTGTGAAACACTCACCTGTGAAATACTCACCTGTGAAACACTCACCTGTGAAACACTCACCTGTGAAATACTCACCTGTGAAATACTCACGTATGAAATACTCACCTGTGAAATACTCACCTGTGAAACACTCACCTGTGAAATACTCGCGTATGAAATACTCACCTGTGAAATACTCACGTATGAAATACTCACCTGTGAAATACTCACCTGTGAAACACTCACCTGTGAAATACTCACGTATGAAATACTCACCTGTGAAATACTCACCTGTGAAATACTCACCTGTGAAACACTCACCTGTGAAACTCACCTGTGAAATACTCACCTGTGAAATACTCACGTATGAAATACTCACCTGTGAAACACTCACCTGTGAAATACTCACCTGTGAAACACTCACCTGTGAAATACTCACCTGTGAAACACTCACCTGTGAAACACTCACCTGTGAAATACTCACCTGTGAAATACTCACGTATGAAATACTCACCTGTGAAATACTCACCTGTGAAACACTCACCTGTGAAATACTCACGTATGAAATACTCACCTGTGAAATACTCACGTATGAAATACTCACCTGTGAAATACTCACCTGTGAAACACTCACCTGTGAAATACTCACGTATGAAATACTCACCTGTGAAATACTCACCTGTGAAACACTCACCTGTGAAATACTCACGTATGAAATACTCAAGTATGAAATACTCACCTGTGAAACACTCACCTGTGAAATACTCACCTGTGAAATACTCACCTGTGAAACACTCACCTGTGAAATACTCACCTGTGAAACACTCACCTGTGAAACACTCACCTGTGAAATACTCACCTGTGAAATACTCACGTATGAAATACTCACCTGTGAAATACTCACCTGTGAAACACTCACCTGTGAAATACTCACGTATGAAATACTCACCTGTGAAATACTCACCTGTGAAATACTCACGTATGAAATACTCACCTGTGAAATACTCACCTGTGAAACACTCACCTGTGAAATACTCACGTATGAAATACTCACGTATGAAATACTCACCTGTGAAACACTCACCTGTGAAATACTCACCTCTGTGTCCTCGTCCTTGAATCCGTGTATGCTGAGACTCTGTATCCCTCCTGAGTTCAACGTGCTTGGCTGCATCTGAAAGAGAAAAGACAAGTATCTCTGAACTGTGTTTAGACATGTATTAGATTTTCACTGACAGCCCAAATTTAGCCTTGTTTTAGCCTAGACGTCTGGGATATGTCTTCACGGCTATTAGACGCAAAATTGCTTGCTGGGTTTTCACACGCCACACATCCATTTTCTCACGCAGAGAAAAATCACGTACAAAGAGGACACCGACACCGTCAGAACTTTTGATATGGAACAAATTGTCAACTCTCAGATTCTGTTCATATTTTTATGAGATTCAAACAATAAATACCATTTTGATGCTTTTAAATATGAGCGATTGCTGTCACGCCTCAGTTCAAATGGCACATGGTACAGTCCCCCCCTTACCCATCAACTAATCTCACTGACAGAATGGAGAAGTTTCAACACATTCAGAGTTGGCCCAGAAAGAAGAAAATATGTCAACAAAGAGGATGTTTTAATTTCCAGAATGTGAAATAGACATGTTCATTAAATCAGGGTTTGTACAGCAAAGGGGAGGAGCAAGATGGCGGAGAGAGCAGTTGTCAAAGTTGCGGGGTCTGACAGAAAAAGTGATTTTGACATCCAGAGCAGTTCATTTAGATCAACTTTAAAAAAAAGTCACTGTGAGGTAAACATCTTCTTAAAAGACTATTATGAGACACTTTTCTGAAAAGAAGCACTAAACACACTCGGGATAAATGGCTAACCTCAATGAACATGACTACAGTGTGGACGGGATACGTCACGTGAGGCCGTGATGTTTTGACGAGTTTGTTGAAGAAGAGGTGCAGATGGCAAAACCTCGGAGCGACCACACTCCGTTAAAGAGTCCAAACCCAAAGAAACTGAAGAGGAGAGATGAATCAAGAGAAGTAAGCTTACGATATTCACACTCTGTCACAAAGATCTGAGGAAAGACTGGATGCGACATTGATCAGCACATCCCAAATAATGAAAAAGAGGTGACAGAAAATAAAAATGAAATAATTCAACTCAATAGGCTGACAAAAGAGAACGAGGAGCTGAAGGAGAGATGGAGCGATACGGAAGACGATGGATTCTCAACTTGATTGGTTTACCGGAGAAGGACAACGAGGACACAAGAGAAAGGGTGGTCGGTATTCTCAAAGAGTGACTCCGATATCGGTGGAAAAACTACAAGACAATGTTGAAACTGTCCATCGTCTGGGAAAGAAAGACGATCATGAGGCCGTGACCGATCATCATGCAGTTTGGCATGCGGACGACGAGGGACGGGATCTGGAGGAGGTCGAGGGACACCAGAGTCCAATTCAGACAAGATCGTGAAGAGCTGTATCCGGCGGGACAGGAGGCCAGACGCTACGGGAACAAAGCGGACTTGAAGGAAGGGTGTGCTAATATGCTATTATAGACGGGAAAATCATCACCTGGATTCAGAAGTTTGATTAAGGGGACTGTTACTGTTAATGACAAAGTTTAATTCTGTGACGGATTGTTCATTACTGCCTTAAATTCTAGATTTTAAAGGCATTTAAGAGCGTCTGTATTTTGTTTCATTCGTATGTCTATTGTTTTTAGTTTTTTAAGCGTTCGAGGTTTAAGAATATCATCAAGCGTAAGGCCTTTTTTATTTTGTAAGGAAGTCAAAGCCAGCCTTATTTTGTTAAGAGACCCATTCGAACAAGGACGATGAAGAATTCTGGAAGCAACAATGGAGATATAATACTTCATATCTCATTCTGCAGGAGTGATGCTTTTATTTTTGAGGTTTATAGGGAAAATTATTGATTATAAAAGTGATGAAGCAGGTCACTGGCTAATGGTTGTGGTGGAAGAATTTGATTTTAAAATGATTTTGATGAATGTTTATGGGTACAATAACATGTCTCTCAATAGGAATATGATTTTAAAGTTAACAGGGAATGGAGTGCAAATTATGTCACGGATAGCATAATCATGTCTGTAGAGTGAGCGCTCGGAGCGGGAGACACAGAACCTGATTTATACACGGTTGAACTGGCCGTAACAAAGCGGGCATAAGATGGACACGAGCGCGAGTCCGCGGGCGAATTTAATAACGCGGAGTGTTGTTAACTAATTGATCCATATATAAGGCGCTCCGGATTGTAAAGCGCACTGAGATTTTCCGTTTTTTGAGAAGATTAAAGGCTTTTAAGTGCGCCTTATAGTGCGGAAAATATGGTCTCAAGCAATCCCCCTCTTCACATTCGACACGGTGTCACGCGAAAGGCGAAGCTTGAATTAACGGGTATGTCCCTCTTTGGCTAATGTACTTTCAAGATGGAGGGCAACATGGCGACCGACATTAGAGCCCCTTACCCGTATGTGTTTTCAATGGCATATTATACACTCACGACAATACTTTATTACTTGAACGAAGTAAATATACATTGATGAACATATTTTTTTGAAAGAACAAGTGTTTTTAGCCAAGAATAAACTAAAAAAGTTACACAGTGTAGCTTTAATCAATACTTGTATGGTCAATATCATGTAGGTCTCATCTATGGAGTAAAGGGGAAAAAGGAATGGATTTAATCAACAAATAATGGCTGGTTATACAGCGGTAGCTTAAACACTGGTCACCAGTTTTCTTGAAACCACTTGGCTTCACTTTATCCTGTAGTTGTATTAAAATATTTATCATCAATAATGACACTGAATAAATAGTGAAAAGCTACCGGCCAGATGTTTATTCATGTTCAGGAGATTGGATTGAGGTACAGCAAAACTGTATTTCAGCTCCATCTAAAACTCTGGAGGGAAATGAGCCTTTCAGCCAAAATACACACGTCTAAGAGAGAAAGCAAACCTCGAAAAAGCCCGTAAACTCAATACATATCAAGGTAAATCTGGGGTAAACAAGTTCAAAAAAAGCAACTTTATTTTGCAAAGCATAAATTTTATTGTCAACTAATGCAGTAAGATACAAACAGGACAAAAATAAAACACTGCATGTACACACATTATCTCTCACATTTACACAAAAGTTGAGGGAACAGTTTCCTCCATGAACAGAAGTTTCCCAAACGTTCAGAGCTGTCCACAGTCTGAGATGGTGATGGCTTTAGTGGGTTTGCCGTCCTTCCCGCCCAGCTCTCCTATTCTCTTCACCACATCCATGCCTTCTTTGACGAAGCCGAAAGCCACGTGCTTGAAGTCCAGGTGTTCTGCTTTCTTGAGGGTGATGAAGAACTGCGAGCTGTTGGTGTCTCTGCCGCGGTTGGCCATGGACAGCAGTCCCGGGCCCGTGTGCCTCACGTCGAAGTTCTCGTCCTCAAACTTCCCTCCGTAGATGGACCGTCCTCCCGTCCCGTCCCCGCTGGTGATGTCACCCCCCTGAGAGACAACAGACCAATCAATCACCTTTACTGGTGTGTGTTCACAACCAGACCAAACCACCAGTCATGCACCCAGTCCTGTTATATTCTCCATAAATCAGACGCAGTGTCTGAATATGCGCCCATGACTGCTGACGATCTAACCTATTAGCATAGATCCCGCCCTGAGCCGCACGTTCACAGGTTCAGGCTTTTAAAGTTTGTCCTTTCGATGTCTTACAGGTTAGGCCGTTGTTGGCCGGATCACGCTAGCATTCTGCTATTGTGTGATATCACAGTTTTGAACGGATTTTTAGAGCAGATAAGTGAACTTAAAAATGCAGTTTTCAGCTGAGTGTATTTTCTTAGCCCTCCCTTTTGAATGCAACTTTCAAATTACTTGACAAAAAATTACATCCTGAGAAAAGTGGATTTCTGGAGGTGAAACCCCATTGACTCCCATTCATTCTGCACTGGACCGCGAGCGCCCCCGCATGGACAGAGACGCGTTACTGCAGCCAGTCCACAACCCGGAAGTAACCAGCCAGTGCCAATTCTCTTCAATTAGACATTCTCTGCTAGTGAGATTCTCCAGGTTTGAGTATCTGAAGCCCGAGCTGTACAGGCTCCGCCCTCTTCTGGAAAGGGGGCGTGGAGCAGAAGCTCATTTGCATTTAAAGGGACATGAAAACCTTTCACAACCAAATAGAAAATATCTAATAAATTATCTGTGGGGTCTCTAGAACTGAGACTTCAGACAGATACTGTGGACACCTGAGTCTTATAATGTATTACATAAAAGGGGGATAATAGGTCCCCTTTAAAATCAAAGAAAAAAAGTGTTTATGAAAAATCCTAAACAATAAAATGACAATAAAACCCACAATTTCAAAAAAGTCCCCGTTCAAATAACGCAATGAATGATGCAGACTCGCTCTCTGACAGTAGATGGCGCTAATGAAACAGAGAAATGCCCTGGTAAACAACATTATGAATCTTGTTTTTTCATCCCCAAATTTAAGAACGGTTGAAACGATAACTTAGACTTTTCTTTTACATTTAAAATTAAAAGGCTTACATAAAAAGGCTTATGTTACGAGTTTAAGGAGACATGCAGTGTTGCGGCCTCACCTGACACATGAAGTCGGGGACGATCCTGTGGAAGACGGAGCTGCGGAAACCGAAGCCCTTCTCGCCCGTGCACAGAGCCCGGAAGTTCTCCGCCGTTTTGGGAACGATGTGAGCGAACAGCTCCATGACGATTCTCCCAGCCGGCTCGCCATCGACGGCCATGTTGAAGAACACCACGGGGTTGGAGTCTCGAGAATGGGCCTCGGCCACGGACACCTGAGCGCAGTCGGCCCGCGACATGAAGCTCTGGCAGTCGACGAACGCTCGTCTGAAGGACTCGGCCAGCTCGGGAGTCTTGAACTTGGCTGCGAGCTGCTCAACCTTCCCGTCTCCCTCTGTTAGTGGGCACACACACACACGTGAACAACACTGCACAGCAGTTTCCACTAGGGCTGAGTTTTATTCATTAAAAAAATGTCAGTTTGCCGTTGTGTGTTCGTGTAGTTTATTACGCGTCTGCTATCAAACCACGTTACTGATGCACAAACTATTGTAACCTAATTTTCCTTGCATGCACATTAAGGAAATTATATTTTATTTAAGAACAATTATTTCAAAAGTTAATACACTTTAAAAAGTGAACATCATTTCAAAAGTGGTTTATATTTGCCCATTGCACTCACTTGCGCCCTCTTGTGGGCACAGGAGACAATACAGTAGTTTCCCCTATAACATGAAGTGTTGCCTAAAGAATTCAAATTTAGCCAAACTTTAAGAAAGAAACTCAAGTTTCGCTCGTCAGCTCTAGTGTCCAGCGGGTGCGGTGCGAGGGCTGTACCGGAGTGGTCGGTGGCGGTCCACACCAGTGCGTTGGCCGAGGTGTTCATGGGCTTGAGCTCCATGCTCTGGCTGATGGTGTGGTTGGCACAGACCTTCAGCACCTGCTCGCGTCTCATCAGCACACGGTAGCACTTCTTGACGGGGTGGAAGAGGATCTTGATGTCTCCCACACCGCGCTCTTTCCACTGGTTGAGCTCGCGGTCCCAGCGGTAGAGTTTAGTCCTTTCTTTGAACAGGATATCCTCGTCCTCCTCGCCAGACTTCACCTCCACCTGCAGGAGTCACATCACGTCACGTCAGCTCCCTGTGTAAATACCCATCTCTCTTACCGCTGTCACATGCTCAAACACACGCTCTGACCAAAACACACTTTTATAAATGTTGAAACTCAACCATTTTTAAGAAAAGGGATGAGAAAATTATATTCCTGATATCTGGGCAAAGTCATCCAGCGATCGCCGTAGCAGAATAATAAAACACAGATAGAGATCTACCGACTGACGAAACATGAAAACAAACTGGATTGTGACAATATAAGGCTCATCTGTGTTCAAGCCATCTCGGGTATTTTAAAGTATGTTTATAATCGTTATAGCCTTTAGAGTACAAGAATATAACATAATTCTGCCTCAGTCTAAGACATGAAGTCCCGTTAGACCGGTTATTTCCAACACTCGACTGACGTTATGAAGTGAAGCGGGTCATTCAGTGTTCTCATTGGTTGGTCAACAGGTTTGTAAAGAGAGATGCAGGTTCTGAGTGACTCAAACTCTCAGCGCTTGTGGAGATGGAGCATCTACTGCAAACTGACCCATCCACTGATCTCAGAGCTGCGCTTCGTCATGAAACACTGATTTCATAATTGCACTTATCGTGCGGCCCTTGATTAACCTCACACACACACACACTCACCTCTGGCAAGGACACGATCGGCTCAAAGTGGATCTCCTCATTACGGGGAGATTCGTCATCACTGCCCTCTTCTCCTTCATCGTGTGCTTCTCCTCCTTCAGTTCGCACGGGTGCATTACCGAAGACCGCGGCCCCGGCGTTTGACCAAGAAAAATTAGCATCTACAGAAATAAACGTCAGAAAAAAAAGTGAGAATTTTCACAAATGCCCGTATCGGCGAGTATCCTCGTGAAATGACAGCACGTGTAGAGTTTCAGGATACTGGATCCGGGCATTGAGTCTTCAATGGCGGACACATCAGGAATATTAGGCTGCTGTCACTAGAGTTATTCAACAACACAAAAACTAAATACACCCACTGCTCTAGACTGAATAACTTTGCAACTAAAAAACATATTTTATATTTCATTCATACAGTGAAGACTATGCAGTGTTATTTTACATTTGATACTTTGATAAAGGTTTGGTTAAGGGTAGATGAGAGACACCTCTCACTGTGGGAAACACCTCTTGCTTGGACCTCCATCAAGCCCTAAACACAATCACACCGACTGAGACGAAGCCCCGCACCGTCCCGTATGAACACCAGCGCCGGCCCAAACAGCACAGCTCTCCGAGGGGAGGATAATGGGCTCTCTGGTGAGATCACTCATCAAGGTTATACCCATAAAGCTTGGGAATATAAGCTGGATGTGGGGGCAAGATAACCCTGGGAAATTAGCGTGTGAACCTGATACACACAGGGTTAAAGGAAATGCCTGTACCCGCATCAGAGGTCAGGGCGAGCAGTAACGACGTCTATGAGACCATCTTCATATCATGCTCAAATGGGCCTTCCAGGAGCAGGGACAGATCCCAAACTGGGAACATACGTCTGATAACGCACAGCATTCATAAATATACTTATGATAGGATTCTTCTCTACTGTGTCACCATTAAAACCCATGTGACATGATGAAACGGCTGCAATCGTAGAGAAGGCCTTCCCGTCCTCCAGTATCGCCTGACAATGTACGGTATGAAGAACGGCATCTTTGACCCAGAGGTCTCTCGCTGAGGAACACACCACGGATGTGAATACAGGAGTTGAGCCATCTCTGCGGTCTATGGCCTTCCTGGCAATAATGGAGGCCTAATTCTGGACGGAGTGGGAGGATGAGGTGTACTGGTGGCCAGGGATGTGCTAATGCGTCTCCAGTGAGAAGAACAGCAAGAGGAGATTTTGCTGATCACTATATCACATATTTATTATATTTTTTTTACTTATGTCATTAAATAATTGTTATTATACGCGAATGTCCACGTCTTGTACTCGCCCAGGAAATCTGTAAACCGTACGGCACCAGACAGGGGCAGTCGACCCGGGGTATTCACAGTGTTTTCTCTTCAAAATTGAAATTTTACTGCCACCATTGAAACAATTTATAACGGAAACTGTTTACCCACTCGACATTATACAAGGGATAACGTTGTAACGTTAGTGACAGTCGTAAATCGCGGGCTGTTTATTCCAGTGGACGCAAGTTGCAACTAAAACAATAGGAGGCAATGGCGCAACGCTACCCAGCAACAGCTCAGTAATGGCGCCCGCTTACTTCCGGTAGTTTCGCTGGATTCGTCTATAGGAGGATCTTTGTTGACATCATTGTACGCATGCGCGAGTCGTTGGGTGGCAAGAAAACAATAGAATGGCCGGCTGTAAAGACGCGACAAGCACTTGCAAGACAGTTAGCCGGCAAAATCCACAATATATAAGCACTTTAATATCTGACGACCGGAGGAGGTTTGGAGAGAAGCTCAAAATTTGTATTGGTGACAAAACCGATGCCCATATGTGATTTGGGATGTCAAAAAACGTCGGTCCGACTCTTGGTCCGACGTCGTGTCTTGGCCACTATAATCTGCTGGGGAGGCATTCATTCTTATTTAATAGAAACCCCTGGACCCTTCACTCATGACAGATTAAAGGCTTTCAGAAGTCGGGAGGCCTATGATTATTTTGTTTCTCGAAAAGTTGTGCCGATCTTTTCTGCCAAACAGAAAGCAGTGACCGTGCTGAAAGCAACATGACATCATGACTTTTGTTTAAACATACACGCCACTTTCAAATCAAGTGGCGTGTTATCTTTATGCATTTTGAGCTATGCGTGTATGTCTCTGCCGTTAAATGAAGCGAAACAAAGCAAAATGTAGATCTGCATCTGGGGAGCGATATTTTGTCCTAGGATGGTACCGTTAGGGGAAGACTCATGAATGGTATTAGCCACAGTGACGGGTAGGTTTAGGGACGGGGTTGGGGTAGGTCATATTTATATACAGTAATGTAAAGTCAGTGGTGTTCATAAACACGCTGAAAAGCGATTAGGCGTGTTGGAAATACAAATCGGCGTGTTATACATGCGCCATTTCATGAGATCAGTCTAAAGCCCTATGGTTAAAGCAGAGGTAAAGTTAGAGTCACAGCGTGATCTCCCGTGGGTGATGGCAGAACGGAGACATAATCACTGCTCACTGCAAAGCCGGTTAAGTCTTCATTGATCAGTGTTATTATTTATTTATTAAAATGAAAAACTTTTTATCAGGCCCCCAACAAGCCGTACAGTCGAGCACACAGCAAGAGTGAACCATCCTCGTCTCTAAATCCTCCTCCAAACGTGCAAAACAATCAAATTACAGGCATCTAGCGGGATTTCTTGCCACACGATTCCCATGATGCAACGCGACAAACGTAAACAATGACGCCACAAAAGATCCTCCTATAGGGATTCATGTATGACCACACAAGAGGCGTTTCCCATAGTGAGATGGAGCGAGCCGACCGAAAAGCGAGAACCTTTTCACCGTTTATTTCATTTGTCTTTGTTCTATTATATTTATTCGTACTTACTTGCAATTGGATTATTTGTCCTTATTTTATTACTTACTGATTACTTTCTTTTATAAATGTTAAATTTACATTAGGCTAATAGTTTTTGCTGTAATATCAAAACTGGAAAAGAGAATTGTGATATTTCACGGGCATCTAAACATCTGAAAAGCAGCTCTACATTTGTGGCGAGCACAAGACAAATCAAAGTGTCGGTATCAGTGCAGAATAAACTGAAATATACTGTATTAGTGAAAACACAGGGCTGAGAGCAGCAGTTCACACAGACACACCCAGAAACCTCAGACAGTGTGTGTGTGTGTGTGTGTGTGTGTGTCCTGTGCTCTGGCTGGCACTACAGCTTCATGCTAGATCTCTCATTCTCACTAAGGAATAGTTTCCCGCCATCATAATTTTATCATTTTATACTCAGCCCTGCTAGAAAACTCAACAGAAAGAATTGTGAATTTGACTGCACTTTATTATTAAAAATAAAATCTATTGACGCAGACACATTGGTTAAACGCTGGTTAAAATGTAAACAGAACTCACCTTTTTTGCCAAAAGCAAATTCTCCTGCAGTCTTTGCCAAGTCTCCAAATGAAAACGCACTCTCAGATGCGAATGCAAAAGGAAGACCTGCTGGAGAAGAGCAAAGACGTCAGACGATACCAAAGGCAAATGCTGGACGAGTTTGACTGAACGTCCCTGTCCTTCACTCTCTGACCTCGGCTGGACTTCATTCACATCATTCTAATAATAAATGTTCCTTATATTTGGTTTCAAACACTTAACTTATATTTCCCTGAACCAAAGTAGTTACTGTTTTTCATTGTCTTATCGTCGTGTCAGTGTGTTTTCATTCAGTGAGATCTGCTCTCTCGTTATAATCAATGAAAGACGAATCTCTTATTCATATCGTGTTTGCTCTGTGTGTTATGATGACAGCATTCGTGAGAGTTCAGCAGACATCACTGTGATTGGCTGTCTTTATAGGAGGAGGACACGTGTACCTGCAGTGGAGCTGGACTCGCTCTCGCTGCTCCTCTTCGTGGAGAGGTCAATGGGGTCAACACTGCCGGCCACGGGAGGCTCTTCCGCTGCTGCATCATGGGAAGGCTCCGGCTTCACCTGTGTGTCCAGAACAAGACACGAGTCAAACCGGTGCTGCTAATCACGTCTCATGTCAGTGTTCAGAAAGTCCTCTGACCTGAGCGTGCTGCAGTGTGTGTAGCTCTGCGCTGACGTCGTCGGGTCGCTCGGAGTCGGAGTCGCTGCTGACGTCGCAGAGGAAGGTGGGCGGCAGCTTCAGGCGTCTGGCTCTCTGCTCCTCGTCTGCAGTCGGCTTCTTCTCCCACACTAGTGTGACCTCAGAGTCTGCAAACACACACTCCATCAGAGTCTGCACACACACATTCGCTCTCAGCACTGAAAGCAGAGTGTTTTAACCCCTGGGGTCGCCGTCACGCTGGCGCATTAGCCTCACTTTTTTCTCATCAGTGCGAAAGAGACTTAAATAATTCAGTCGATTTTTGTCATACATAAGTGTTATATGTCATTCAAAACTGTTAAAAGTCTACTTCCATTGGTGTACACTCATAATAAAAACAAAAGGTAGTGATTTTCATAAAATAAATAAACTAAACGATGTGCGACCTGCCGTCTCTCGCAGTGTGAAGAGAATGAACAAACTCAACATGAGAGAGATGTCTTTACAAAGCTTGAAGTGTTCATTTTTAAATATAAATCTAAAACAAATATCCTCCGTTTAAGCAATGCGTATGAAAGCAACGAGAGGTCCAGTATCTCGAGCATCTGCTCATTATCTCTAATGTGCCCACACCCACACAAGCGACTCACTAATCAATGCCAACCTGCACACGCCCTCATCACCTCAAAACAAAGCATCCAACTCATCATTCCCCTGCTCTTCATCCAGTTTGGAAGACACGTGTGAGTATTAGCTAGCGTGGTGGTGCCAGACAAACAACAATCTATGAAATGGACGGACAAGGATGTTTTTGTACTCTATAAAATATAGCATAATATAAAAGTAGGCTAGTATTTACACTGGTCTAAACATTATCATACTCATGTTAGTGTTTACATTTGAGCAGATATTTATGAATACTGTATTTCACTGTAAACTAGATGTTTAGAATGTGGTAAAAATAATGTTTTATAGTGAGGAGAGGCTCGATCGCTTCAGTAAATGTGTTATTTCATGCAGCCCTACAAGTATCGGCCTACAAGGCACAACAAACCTGATGTACTAAATGTATATATATTTGATTTTCTTCCCCAGATCGGGCAGCCTGTACAGTTTTTATTTATACCAGACGCCACTGATGAGTCTTGCTGACAAACATTCATACGAGTCTGTACATGAACATGGTAAAATGAAGAAAACACCTTGGAGATGACCGGTATGGTGATCAGGAACGGCTTCAGGAATGGCACAAAGGTGTGTGACTGTTCATGTATCTCAAGAATGGCCCTTTAAATCATTTTAGGACTGTTGAGAATCCCTATGAATCACATGTTATGGAAATTAACCATTAGTGAAGATTACTAGGTAGTCTGAACCATGTGTTTCCATTGAACCTATTCCATGAGTAAATATAAATGTCTACATGGTTGTGGGTGACGTTTCAGGAACATATGGGACAGGACCTCTGACCTTAGGGACGGCCAGTACAGTTTGTGTTCTAGAGTAGAGGGTAGACAGCAGTAAGGGTTAGGGTTAAGGGCCTTATCTGGGTGGGTGAAAGGTACAGAAAAGACTATAAGAGCTGTCTCATGTCTGCCTGAGGGCGTCTCACTCACGCCACAGTGTACCTGCTGTGCTGGCGACTGGGCCTGTTCTTGCAAGGATAAAAACTTTTCTTTCTTTATTAATTTGACTCTGAGTGTCTCTTACATTATCAGTGATGATGTTTGACAGGATTTTTGCCACAACACACACACACACGACACAGTCAATCATGGGAGGAGCGAAGTCTCCTCAGGTGCACTGAATGAGTGATAAGGTCCTATTGTTTGGTGTGTTGGTGTGTGCCATATGCAATGGAAACAGACTGTCCTTTCTTTCTCTCCTAACGAGAGCGTTTGAAGAGTTGATGTGTTCCTGACAATGTAAGTTTGTGCCCTTTTGATTTGTTTCATGATGTTAATTCCTGGGATTCTGTTTGTCTAATTCTGAAATGTTTTTATGATTCTTATGTTTCTTTCTATTTTGATGTTGAATTGTTTAGGATTGGATTATGTGATTAAGGATGTATTAGTTTAAGTTCTATGGTGTTAATTATATTTAAGATTATGTTTGTTTATTTGTTTATAGAAACCATACAACTCTGATTCCAATTCTACCCTATGGCCTGATTCATCTGTCTCAATAAATGATTATGGACAGAGTACTGGACCCGTGTTTTAATGGACACACCATCCTGGTAGCACATTTCCTGAACTAAACATTGCCAGAAATTTACAAGGACTACAAGGTAGTGTTGGGCGATATGCTCCATTTTCATATCGTCCAATCGTCAGCCTGTGAGATCGGCGATACACGATAGTATCGTGAGGGGGCGGGGCTAACATTTGATTATTAACTTGATTATTTAGCCTACTCATTAATTTGCTTGTTTTACTAGCCTTCTTCGTTTTATATACGAGAATCTTTTTTCTATTTTGCTAGCAAAGGTGGAGTATTTATTAATAGGATCAGGTTATTACCTGGTATAGTGGAAAAAAAAGAGATCCTAATCCTTTTGTTTGTCAACGGGAAATTTACGGACACATTAGCCTATCCTCATGCCGTTACATGAAGCATTTTGACTAGGGCCTATTTCTGCACGAGATGAAAACACGTTTTAATAATTTCTTGGGTCAGAAAAAGTCGGAGTTTGCGATATGTCCTCCCACCAGTGCGCTCTCTGCGCACTTCAGTAAGCACGAAGTACGCGGGTTAATGTGTTTTAAATGCCGGGAGAAACAAGAGCAAGGGCCAAACGTCTAACTGAGTCGATCGGTTTATACTTATACTTATGACTTGACTCAGATAAAGGAAACGTTTACATGACCACATGCATTGTCAAGTTTATTCAACATAATCAGGTTAAGAACGTCGTCGCATGTAAACGCGCTCAATCTCTGAAAGTGAAAGTAAAAACGGACTGCTTTCGGTATCTGCATTAACGCCGCGTTCCCTCAGAGACGACGATGATAACGGTAACTATAATACTATTTTAGTGATATTATTATTAATACTATTTAGTAATTGTTTTTAGTGTTAGTGTCATTAAACGTTTTGTTAATGTGTTACGGAAACAAATACTGACGAACAACGATGCCGTTTTCATCTTGGATCTGTGGGAAATTGAATTTTGCGTCTGTTAAAACGAGCACACTTGATAATTTGTGAATGGATCACCTTGCAATTAAATGTTGATGTGGGATGTTTTTTAGTCTGTTTTAAAAACATTCTCTTAGAGGAGTCCTCATTAGTGCGTGTGTTGTTGCAATTGTTATGAGGTGATGTCGTTGTAAATTTAGGCAAGGCAAATTGATTGTAGTTCCTAATATTCATTTAATAACAATACTAGCTTTATAATAATAATAATAATAGGCCTAATAATAATAATAATTTAATACATTATGGTAAAACGAGCCAATTATCGTATTGATATCGTCAAAGGCATCTGCCATCGGCGATATGTCAGACTATCGTCGATACACGATACTATCGTCTATCGGCACAACCCTACTACAAGGTGTTATAAATAAATCCAAAACAAGCAAAAATACATTAATTTAATTTCTCCACATTCTTTGTGCAACTTCCCTCCCAGTCCCACCTGATATGGCCATTAGGGGAGTGTGAGAGGTGTGGGACACATCAATATTCAGGATGGTTTACAGCCTCCCCGCATACAGCTTTGAGTTAAAATTTCTAAGACATGTTTTGTTTTATGTGATTGAGTGGGCAGGATGATTTTCACATAAAAAAATAAATTCTAGGCTATGTGATTCAGTTTTCAAGTCTTGTGAACAAATAATCAGTATGGGTTTTATGGCCTATATATATATATATATATATATATATATATAAATATATATACACATACATACACACTTGTTTTTCAAAGTATTTTATACCAATACAAAGAAAAATGTGTATATTTTCTTTTCCACTTAAATGTTCAGTTTTTATAATATGATTGTGCACTGGTGATTTTTTGATTAGATTATGAATATACAGTGCAGTTTAAATCTTTGCAAATAAATATCTTGTGTAAATTTTTTTAATTCCTTTAGTGGCCAGTGTGTGAGTGCACGATTCTTGGGTGAGGGGGCGTGGTCAATGGGAAATCAGCCGTAGGCCACGCCCCCTACCCCTGTGGAAATAGGCCTGCCACCACAGCTGGAAAAACTCCTCAGCTGGAGGAAACACTGTAACGAACGTCACCTACCGTGATCTGACGGCCCTTCAGCTCCGTCCGGATACAGCTTTCCTTTCAGATTCCTCACTGCGGTTTCAAAATCTTCATCTGTGCAACACAGAGAGAGAAAACACATGTGATGATTAACCACACGGTCGAGGACCAGACACCTGCACACTGATCTGCCAATCTTTCTGTACAGCCGTTTCGGAGTTTAACAGCTAATTAAACAAGCACAGATCCTGGTAGTCCTGAACTGTTCTCAGAGCACATCTTCAGACATGTGCTTTACTGGAACAGGTGACAGAAACCAGACTATATTTAAATACAGTGTAGATCTTACCATCGTCGTCATCGTCACTGACGTATCCTGGGACGTTTTTGTAACAGAAGAAGGCAGGAGGAAGCATCAGTCTGGCGGCCAGTTCTGCCTGCTCTCTCGTTGGCTTATGCTCAAATATGATCTCAACATCATCATCTTCATCACACACGTCCAGAGCGTTCTTCTGTTCTGACCCAGGCGAAACTGTCAACAAGAATAATTTCAGCTAATGCAACAGTTCAACACAAAGTTTGGCACATCACGACTGAGGCACTAAGAATCAAGTCTTTTACAAATCTGAAACTGAAGAGCATGTAGCAGAAAACCCCTCAAACGTCTCATCTAGCGTCTGCGGCGACCACACACACATTTCACACCAAACATTAGAACAATAATAAAGACACACACATGCAAACACTCATGCTCCCTATCAGACTGTGTGGAAAAAAAAAATGTAATCCATAAATTTCTTCTTAACGGCTCAATTACATTCAACTCTGAACCATAAACTGAATCAAGGTATCAACGTCTCAATGCAACGGAAGCAGCATCATATTTCCTTCCATATTGTGATGTATGCCAAAATTTGATCAGATTATTAGAAAATAACAGAAGTAGGGCGCTGGTGCTTGGTTCTATTCACTGCTTGTTGATTGGATTTTGAGATGTGGGCGTGGCTCTCGAAAGTATGCAGATGAGACAGAGCTGATTGGAGAAGACCTGCATACGTCACCAGAGCAAAGACTGATGGAGCCAATTCTGCATGAACTGATCAAATCTATAACTTAAATGCAATGCATCTGAAAAGTAAAGAAGATATATATATTAGGCACAACTCTTTAGCTTGACTAAAAAGCGGAAACACAGTGATCCATCATTAACTTAGAGAGGGAACATATGAAGCACGTAAACTCAAGAGAGGGAACATATGAAGCACGTAAACTACAGCTTAAGAATGAGGTTGGCAGCAACAACTGCTAAACAGGTTTAGTGAAATCAAATCTCAGCACAGCATGCAGATCCACACACGATTTGTTAGCTGGTTATAAGACTCACAACATCCAACTAGTACTCTAAGCCGAAAGAATACTTCAGTTGTCTGTTTGCTATCTGAGCATGTGATGGGAATTGAGTGTGCGAACTGCTAACCAGTGTGTTCACAAGGTACAAGTCAAGAAGCGTTTGTCCTGAAGTTTTGAAAGAGTACAGAAGATGACTCCTGGTCAGTGGAGTTTACTCAGTCCATGTCCCCCCCCCAAAAAAAAAACAAAAAAAAAACAGGGGCAGATAGCCCCAGACAACATAGCTCCTCGGGTCATTCGGGCACTCAAACCCCTCCACCATGTTAAAGTAGCAGTTCAAGGAGGGGAACATCTGGTAGGGTCTCCCAAGGCAAACAGGTCCTACGGGTCAGACTAAGAGCAGTTCAAAAATCCCTTATGATGTAAAAAAAAAATAAAGGAACGTGACATCGCCCAGGGGGGGGGGGGCAGCCGGGGCCCACCCTGGAGTCAGGCCCGGGGTTGGGGCTCGTATGCAAGCGCCTGGTGGCTGGGCCTATCCCTACGGGGTTCGGCGGGGCTCAGCCCAAACGAGCGACGTGGGACTGCCTTCCCGTGGGTGCACCACCTGCAGGAAGAGCCGTAAGGGGCCGGTGCAGAGAGGATCGGGTGGCATTTGAAGGCGGGGGCCTCGACGACCCGATCCCTGGACAAGGAAACTAGCCTTAGGGACGTGGAACATCACCTCGCTGGCGGGGAAGGAGCCTGAGATTGCGCATGAGGTTGAGAGGTTCCGACTAGAGATAGTCAGGATCACTTCTTCACATGGCTTGGGCTCTGGAACCACCCTCCTCAAGAGAGGATGGACTCTTCACCACTCTGAAGTTGACCATGGTGAGAAGCAATGGGCTGCTGTGGGTTTGCTTATAGCCCCCAAGCTCAGCCGCCATGTGTTGGAGTTTAACGCTGTGAACGAGATGGTCGTTTCCCTGAGCCTTTGGGTCGGGGATAGGTCTCTCACTGTCGTGTGTGTCTACGGGCCAAATGGCAGTGCAGAATACCCGGCCTTCTTGGGGTCTCTGGGAGGGGTACTGGAAAGTGCTCCGACTGGGGACTCCGTTGTTCTACTGGGGGACTTCAACGCTCATGCGGGCAACGACAGTGACACCTGGAGGGGCGTGATTGGGAGGAACTGTTCGGTCTGTTGTGGTGAAGAAGGAGCTGAGCCGTAAGGCAAAGCTCTCAATTTACCGGTCAATCTACATTCCTACTCTCACCTATGGTCATGAGCTTTGGGTCATGACCGAAAGGACAAGATCCCGATACAGGCGGCCGAAATGAAATTTCTCTCCGCAGGGTGGCTGGGCGATCCCTTAGAGATGGGGTGAGAAGCTCAGTCACTCGGGAGGAGCTCAGAGTAGAGCCGCTGCTCGTCCACATCGAGAGGGGTCAGTTGAGGTGGCTCGGGCATCTGTTCCGGATGCCTCCTGGACGCCTCCCCGGGGAGGCGTTCCGGGCACGTCCCACTGGGAGGAGACCCGGGGGAAGACCTCGGACACGCTGGAGAGACTATGTCTCCTGGCTGGCCTGGGAACGCCTCTGCATCCCCCGGAAGTGCTGGAGGAAGGGAAGTCTGGGCATCTCTGCTTAGACTGCTGCCCCCGCAACCCGGTCCCGGACATGCGGAAGAAGATGGATGGATATTCATGTTTATACCGGCAGTATTGTGCCTGCTATTCACTTTCACACTGTTGCTAAAATGTTACTTTGCAAACTCTTCATATCACAGACCTGCAAATTAAACATGCAACAACTGTTCAGTCAAAACGTGTAAATTAATTAGGTTATTTACTATTGTCTATGTGCGTTATATTTTAAGCTTTATGAGCTGGATCCTGGTATCTGTAAAAAGTTGATGACTAGATTCACTTAATATCTTTAAAGGTGTGTAAAACATCTGCATTTACACATCAGTGCCTGTATTGGGTGCTTTTGCAAAACGTTAATGTAAGAAACTTTATGATGACGGCTATAATTATTATGATTTAAATAAAGTAATTCGTAATCATAACTTCAGTTATACGTGTTTATCAGCCTGGAGAACAGAATCAATCAATTTGAGCATGGCATGGTTGTTGGTGCCAGACAGGCGGGTCTGAGTATTTCACAATCTGCTCAGTTACTGGGATTTTCACGCACAACCATTTCTAGGGTTTACAAAGAATGGTGTGAAAAGGGAAAAACATCCAGCATGTGGCAGTCCTGTGGGTGAAAATGCCTTGTTGATGCGAGAGGTCAGAGGAGAATGGGCCGACTGATTCAAGCTGATAGAAGAGCAACTTTGACTGAAATAACCACTCGTTACAACCGAGGTATGCAGCAAAGCATTTGTGAAGAAGCCACAACACACACACACAACCTTGAGGCGGATGGGCTACAACAGCAGAAGACCCCAACGGGTACCACTCATCTCCACTACAAATAGGAAAAAGAGGCTACAATTTGCAAGAGCTCACCAAAATTGGAGAGTTGAAGACTGGAAAAATGTTGCCTGGTCTGATGAGTCTCGATTTCTGTTGAGACATTCAGATGGTAGAGTCAGAATTTGGCGTAAACAGAATGCGAACATTGATCCATCATGCCTTGCTGCCACTGTGCAGGCTGGTGGTGGTGGTGTAATGGTGTAATGGATGTTCTTGACACACTTTAGGCCCCTTAGTGCCAATTGGGCATCGTTTAAATGCCTCGGCCCACCTGAGCATTGTTTGAAACCATGTCCACACCTTTATGGCCACCATGTACCCATCCTCTGATGGCTACTTCCAGCAGGATAATACACCATGTCACAAAGCTGGAATCATTTCAAATTGGTTTTTTGAATATGACAATAAGTTCACTGTACTAAACTAGCCCCCACAGTCACCAGATCTCAACCCAATAGAGCATCTTTGGGATGTGGTGGAACGGGAGCTTCGTGCCCTGGATGTGCATCCCACAAATCTTCATCAACTGCAAGATGCTATCTAATCAATATGGGCTAACGTTTCTAAAGAATGCTTTCAGCACCTTGTTGAATCAATGCCACATAGAATTAAGGCACTGAAGGTGAAAGGGAGGGTCAAACACTATTAGTATGGTGTTCCTAATAATCCTTTAGTTGAGTGTTAGCCAAGACAAAAAAAAAAAATTGCAACACCACATCCCAGTAACCACACCTGTTGGTGTCACATTTCAAAATGGGAAAATAACTTTACAAGACATTCCCTGCTGAATGCTTAAAAGACTTTGAAGCCACTGGTCCACTTTAATTGTAAATTCTACTAAAGTTTCAAACAAACAGCTAAAGGTTAGCCAATTTCAGAACCATGCAAACATTTTAAATGAGGCCAAGAAAACAATGTTTAAATTATCACATCATTCAGTCGAGGTCAGGTCTCCCGGCTCATGCCAGTCAGTAAGAACTCTGTGTGCCACAGTAAACTGTGACCTGAAATACCTTGGGCTTCAAACTGGGTGGCTGATGTGCAGCTCCAAAATGCCATTGGATTATTTTTGAAAAGCCTAAAATCCAAACCTAAAAAAAAGTTGTTAAAGATTTAAAGATTTTTGTTATTCTTGTCAGGGACTTGAATTTATCTCAGTTACTGAGCGGATGGTAAAAATCAGTCTCTATACAACAGAAACATGGGCTTAATGACATCAGCTGTAAAGTAGATATTTCAGAGGCAACAGATTTCAAGGACATTTTTTTCTTCTTGGGAAAACATACACCAATGAACAGTGTCCAATAAGATCATAAACTTGTAAATAAACCAGGAAAGCAAACAACTAGAATATAAACTATGGATGAGTTTAGCTCCAAAATTGATTAAATGCATCTAAACCAGCTAATAATTATCTTTAGGACTCTTGAAAAATTGCAGGAAGCAGGGTCAGAACTAAAACTGCAGGACGATAACACGCTGACAACAAGTTTGGAAATCCCTGACCTAGACTAAAAGGTCTAAACAGATTTATTCAAAAACTATGGGATGCATAAGATAGCTTACTTGTTGGGATGCTGAAAGGATTTCCAATGGATGGCTGACTGGTTACTTCCTGTCCAGAGGTTTTCAGTCTTGAGGCACTCGTTTCCTCATCTTTTGGACTGGGAATCATAACAGGTGATTTCTCTTTCGATGACAAAGGGCTCCCAAAGATCTTCTCCACAGAGTCTGAACCAAAGACGAACTTGGGAGGAGAGACAAAAGAGAACTTGGGAGTCTTGGTGACCTGAGCACCAAGCTCTGCCCCAGGCGACCCATCTAGTTTAGGACTGCTTTCAACCTCGGGAAGTACAGTACGCTCTTTTGTGGTTTCCTCAAGTACAGCAACTGCAGCCTTACCACAAATTGGCTCTTGGCTGAAGGCAGGTACTCTTGCGGAAAGCAGGGTGAGAAGAGTGTCTTTTTCCTGGGCAGCCTTTGCCTCTTCGAAGACTTCTTTGAACATTCTTGCCGTTTCTTCCAGTTTAAACCTTACAGCCAACTGTTCAATCTTGCCCTGGCCTTCAGCAAAATCAAAGGCACTCCAGATCCATGCTTTCTCGGATCCTTTCATGGGCTCAAGATTCATATTTGAAGCAATCCAATGGTTTGCACACAATTTCAGGACTTGATCACGCCTCATAACAAGTCTGACGCGCTTTGTTTCGTAGTTTTGTAGTATTTTAAGGTCTCCTATACCTCGTTCCTTCCACTGACTAAGTTCTTTATCATAGCGGTATAGTTTGGCCCTGTGACTGAAAATGACTTGCTCGTTCTCCTCTCCTGTTGAGACCTCAACAAGATCAGGCAACGGCACAACAGGCTCAAAGTACTGACCATCTCGCTCTTCCTCTTGCGATGCTTCTTGTTCATCATCTGTGCCAACGGAAGCCTGGCTCTGGTTTAGCTTAGATGGAGACTTGGAGGGACTGAGAATAGGCTGAAAACTGAAACTAAAGCCTGTGGACGATTCGCCAAAACGGAACAAACTTTTTCCCACTGGATCAGGCTGCAAAGAGGTATTGCACACAGAAGAATCAGCATAGTTGTCAAGCGCTTCTTCTTGCAAATCATAATTATCCCATTCTAAAGCAGTTGTGGTGCTTTCAGAGTCGAGTTTGACTGTGACTGAAGAGGTACTGATACTTTCATCATCCTTGCTTTGGAAAGTCAAGAATGATTTGAGGTCTTTAAGACCAGATTTCATTTCTTCAGCTTTCTGTATAAGTTGGGCCGTTCTGCCAGTATTCACAAGCTTGTGAGGGGTCTGCAAAGGAATATCCAATAGCAGCCGCTGACACTCCTCAAATTTTAGCTTGAACTCTACAGCAAGCTCTGGTGTTTTGAATTTTGCCGCAAGCTGTTCTAATCTGGCATCTCCGTCTGAAAAGTCATTGGCAATCCACATCCAGGCTCGGTCTGACCCAGAGAGGGGTTTCAAGTTCATTGTGGTTGTAATCCAATGATTAGCACATACCTTCAACACCTGCTCTCTCCTCATAAGAACTCGAAGTCGCCCATTCTTATTATTTTTGAGCAGCTTAAGGTTTCCAACTCCTCTTTCTTTCCATTGGCTTGTTTCTGTATCAAATCTGAAGAGTTTGACACGCTGCGAATACAAGCTTTTCTCATCTTCTTCCCCTGTAACAAGGTCAACCTTCTCAGGCATCTGAACAACTGGCTCAAACTGAATATCGTCATTATCCTCTGTTTTGTACATTTCATCTTCTTGATCAGCAGAGGTATCTGTCTTGGGGGTGGAATTAATTGCTGTAAACAGCTGCTGGCCAGCACCAGCAAAGCCTTTGAAAGTGGGATCCTCCTGGCCAAACTGAAAACTACCTTGTGAGCACGTTGCCAAGTCTGCAAAACTAAAAGAGTCAGGCTTACCGGTAATGAGGGGATTGTTATCATGACTACCAGTGTCTAAGGGCTCATCTGAGGAACTTGGGATTGCTTCTTTTTTCTCTCTGTGAAGTTCAGCAATATTTTTTAAGAGGTCAGATGCAGATCCATTTTGTGACTGTCCGTCTGATGCGTTTGCCTCAGATTCTGCAATGCCAAACTTGAAACCTCCAGCAGGCACTGGCATGGAAAACGAAAACACTGAACTGCTCGACTTATCAGCCTGAGATGTAGAAGACTCTACAAACTTAAAACCTTCTGAGGATGCTTTTTCTTTACTTGTACCAAACTGAAAAGCAGGGCCTGGATTGAAATTGGCAGTAAATCCTGTTGCAGCAGGTTGCTTGCTAGAACTACCAAAACTGAATGAAAAAGAGGAACTTGATGGTGCAGTAGAGGTCTTGCCTTTCATATTTGGGTTTGCTGCCTGACATGAAACACACTGCCTAGCTGTACCTTCATTTCTTACCAGGCAAGTGTCACAATCCCACTGTCCCTCTTTTTTACCAAACATGGCAGCTAACTCAATGCTGCAGGGGGCTTTGCAAGAAACGCATTCAGTTGCTGAAGCATCATTCCTCACGAAGCAGGAGTCACAGTCCCATTGACCCTCTTTCTTAACAAACTGAGAGCCAAAACCAGAGCCAAAAGGGACAACTGGAGTTGCTGGCACTTTCGCATGTTGTGGTGCTTCAGCCTGAATAGTTTTCTTATCAGCCTGAGCTGTAAGGTCAACAGCGGTTCCTGCAGAATCATTTGATCCAAATTGAAAAGAAACAGGTATTTGAGACCCAAATGCTAATCCCTTTGAGCTGACATCAGTGTCTCCAGTAAGTCCAAAAGAAAAAGATTTGGCAGGAGGAGCCACAGGTGCAGAGCCTTTCAGTTCCTCTACAGGTTTAATCTTTGCTGTAGAAGGAGCTGCACTATTGCAGGCAACACACACTGCAGATGTGGGAGCGTTTCTTACACAGCACACATCACAGTCCCATTCACCCGTCTTCTTAGAAAACAGTGTTTTAAGATCCATTTCTTTGGATGAAATCTGAGGCTTTGGAGTTTCACATTTCTTTTTCAACTGTTGGCCATGTGGGGACACTACAGGTTTTTCCTTTGCTGTAGAAGGAGCTGCACTGTTGCACGCAACACACACCGCAGATGTGGGAGCGTTTCTTACACAGCACACATCACAGTCCCATTCACCCTGCTTCTTGGAAAACAGTGTTTTAAGATCCATTTCTTTGGATGAAATCTGAGGCTTTGGAGTTTCACATTTCTTTTTCAACTGTTGGCCATGTGGGGACACTACAGGTTTTTCCTTTGCTGTAGGAGCTGCACTATTGCAGGCAACACACACCGCAGATGTGGGAGCGTTTCTTACACAGCACACATCACAGTCCCATTCACCCTGCTTCTTGGAAAACAGTGTTTTAAGATCCATTTCTTTGGATGAAACCTGAGGCTTCGGAGTTTCATTTTTATTTTCCATTTGTTGGCCTTGTGGAGACTCTAGAATGAATTTTTGAGCTTCCTCAAATTTGAATTTAAACAGTGTGGCCTCATCCGCAGTTTTAAAACGAACAGCCAACTGCTCAGTCTTGGCCATTTCATCTGCATAGTCCATAGCATACCACACCCAGGACTTGTCAGATCCAGCATTTGGTTTGAGGACCATATCTGCAGTGATATAGTGATTAGCACAGATTTTGAGAACCTGTTCCCTCCTCATCAACAGACGAACTTTCCCGGATGTTCTGTGTTTTAGAATTTTGAGACTTCCAATGCCCCTCTCTTTCCATTCTTTAGTCTCAGGGTCGAACCGGAAGAGTTTTGCTCTCTTGCAGAACATCTCCTCTTCCTCCTCCTCACCAGTTTTCACATCAACCTTATCAGGAAGAGGCACAATGGGCTCAAAATGAGGTCCATCCTCTTCCTCTTCCACATGGGTGCTATCATTATCACTTTCCCCGCTTTTTTCTTCCCGAACCTCTGGGATTCCTAATACAGGTTTGGTTCCACTTGCAAAGCTAAGTCTTTGGTCAGTGTTGCCAAAAATATTCATTTTGCTCTGAGCAGCATCTGTGAATGAAAATCCTGTGGCACTTTTACTTCCAAAAGTAAAGACTCCGCTTTGGCTAGGCGGCTGGTCTTGGGTCTGATGTTTCGGTTCTGATGGTCCTTCCGCTTTGGGAGGACTATCTGACGTCAGAAGTCCCAAAAGGCTTTCACTATTTTTCATCTGAGCTGAGGAAAAGGTGAAATCACCATCATTGGACTTGAAATTGGAGTTGAACTTGAAGGCAGTTGTTGCTGATGTTGATGGGGCACCGGCCACCCCCCCAAAGTTTGGAACCTTAGGAGGTTCACCTGTGAACTGCGACCCAAGACTCATCTTGGGGTCAACAGCCTTGTTTTCACTGCTCTTGGATGGCTGCGTGGATGTATCGACACATGGCTTGGTGAAATATCCAGGCTCTGGTAATGTTGGATTGACTGTAGGTTGAGGAAAATTGTGACCATAATACTCTTCACTGTATGGGGAGAGTAAGGATGTAGCTGGTGACTCAAACCGGATGGGAGCACCAAAGACCTGCTCTTGAGGATATATGCATGCAGGAGTGGACTGAAGAGGTGGTGTGTGTGTTGATTGTTGGTAGGCATAGATATGCTGCTGTGGAGGAAGACGATTCATCCCGTATACTGGGGCCTGCAGAAATAAACAAACAATACTTTGATATTGGTTCTCTGTGCTTTTTCCTGGTAACTAAAACAAGTAGAGTATATTGCATTTACATGAAAATCACTCCACTACCTTTGTTGGTGTAACATTTGCAGCAGTGCGTAGAAGATACTGTGAATTATATGCTGGAGACTGGTTGTAGTACGCAGAGGGACCTGTAGTGGAAACTGAGGGAAAAAAAGGAATGTGTTTTAATTATGTCTTAAATATTGTACACACAAGTGGATCTTATTTTATTGGTGATGTCACCATTCAGAAGTTGAACATTTTTGGCAACACTTAAACGGGTGTGCTATCAATTTTGTATGGTCAATGACGCATTGGTTTGTCAATTTGTCCTGACAAAGACACAGACAGGTTATGATGTATTGGTTTGTCAAGGTGTCATATTTGTATTAAAAATGTTGTAATTATTTAATTCGGATTAATTGAGCGAATGACACTTCATGACCGTTGTCATAAACATGCATAAAACCTCATTCATAGTCAGCAGCCATATCACCCTGTAGCCCAAGACTGGCTGCCCACTGAAGCTAAGCAGGGCTGAGCCTGTTTAGTACCTGGACAGGAGACCTCCTGAGAAAATCAGGTTGCTGCTGGAAGAGGTGTTATTGAGACCAGCAGGGGGCGCTCAACCTGTGGTTTGTGTGGGTCAACACCCCAGGAAAGTGACCGGGACACTATACTTTCAAAGAGCAGGGGTGTAACACCTGAGTAGCGGTATAACCCTGGTATCCCGGCCAAACTTTCCCAGTGGCCTATGTCCATCATGGCCTCCTAATCATGCCCATATACCAATTGGATTTATCACTCTGTCTCCCCTCCACCAATAAGCTGGTGTGTGGTGGGCGTTCTGGCACAATATGGCTGCCGTCGCATCATCCAGGTGGATGTCATGATTATGAAGGCGTCATGTCAGTCTTATGCACACCTCTTCAAGTAAAGCGTTACCATTTTTTTTTGTGGTAAACCAAAGGGTCTACCATGTGCATAGTGAAGCGATCACTAACAATAATTTTAGGTGGAAATTAATGTAAACAGACATCAGATACCAGTCAGGTTTAAAGGGAATATAAAAAGGCAGGCCAATTGTTCTTCAGGAAGTTCAAACATGCTGCGCAACACGAGAATGAACCTCATTGTTTCTCGTATGTCAAGGGAACATGCTTGAGCCTCCATTTACCACAGCTGATGTGCGTGTTGATGAATGTTTATATGTAAATAAAAGCCTAAATTAAATCTCATCATCATAAAAAGTGATCAAGTCTCTTTATATATTTTGGACTAAACCACACAATTCATTTGGATTAGTTTTACAATCTCTTTATGAACTTTTTGAAGCATCACAGTGGTAGTTGCATAGCTGTTGATTGATGGATCGAAAGCTCTCATTTAAAACATGATTAAACTTACACTATCCAATTGGCACACATTGAGAACCACCAGTATAAACTAAAAATGTTAAAAGGTGGCAGATTTGGGGAATTAAGCAACTCATGAACTGACCAGTAAGAGGAGCACCATGGAAGGCCTGTGGTCCAGGAAATCCTTCCTGAAGTCCTTCTGCAGGATAGTTATCTCTGTACATCCTATATGAGGATGCCGTCGCTTCAGGGGAATTAAGGCGCAAGTCATGAACCTCATTCTGTGTGAGACGGAAAACAAAACATGATATTACAAACCCTAAAATATGAAAATTGCCTGCACCAACTTCACAACGAGCTGCGGACCAGTTTCACACGGTTTAATTTCAAGCCACTAGAAAAATCCTCAAAAACTAATTTCTACAACAACACTTGCTTACAGTATTTATTAGACAGGACCGCATAGTTAAAACAGGAAACAATTCTGACGATGGAAGCCTCGAGCCGGGTCTTAAAGTTGGGTCGTCTGAGGCACAGCTGCACTTTAACCCTCTGGGGTCCTTCCCCTCCTTGAACTGCCACCTTAACGTGGTGAAGGGGTCTGAGTACCCGAATGACCCTAGGAGCTATGTTGTCTGAGGCTATATGCCCCTGGTAGGGTCTCCCAAGGCAAACAGCTCCTAGGTGACGGGTCAGACTAAGATCGGTTCAAAAACCCCTTATGAGAGGAATAGATTTAAGGACCGTGACGTCGCCCGGTAAGGCGCAGCCGGGGCACCACCCTGGAGCCAGGCCCGGGGTTGGGGCTCGTATGCGAGCGCCTGGTGGCCGGGCCTCACCCCACGGGGTCCGGCCAGGCTCAGCCCGAAGGAGCGACGTGGGACCGCCGTCCCGTGGGCTCACCACCTGCAGGAAGAACCGTAAGGGGCTGGTGCAGAGAGGATCGGGCGGCAGTCGAAGGCAGGGGCCTCGATGACCCGATCCCTGGACAAGGAAACTAGCCTTAGGGACGTGGAACATCACCTCGCTGGCGGGGAAGGAGCCTGAGATTGCCTCAATACCTCAAGTCTCTGGATGCTGTGGGGCTGTCTTGGTTGACACGCCTCTGCAGCATCGCGTGGCAGTCGGGGACAGTGCCTCTGGGATGGCAGACCGGGGTGGTTCCTCTTTTTAAGAAGGGGTACCGGAGGGTGTGTTCCAACTACAGGGGGATCACACTTCTCAGCCTCCCTGGGAAAGTCTATGCCAGGGTACTGGAGAGGAGAATATGGCCGATAGTGGAACCTCGGATTAAGGAGGAACAGTGCGGTTTTTGTCTGGGCCATGGAACACTGGACCAGCTCTATACTCTCTACAGGGTGCTGGAGGGTTCATGGGAGTTTGCCCAACCAGTCCACATGTGTTTTGTGGATTTGGAGAAGGCATTCAACTGTGTCCCCCGAGGCGGCCTGTGGAGGGTGCTCCGGGTATATGGGGTCCAGGGCCCTTTGCTAAGGGCTGTCCGGTCCCTGTATGAACGAAGCAGGAGCTTTGGGTCTGCATTGCCGGTAGTAAGTCAGACTTCTTCCCGGTGCATGTTGGACTCCGGCAGGGCTGCCCTTTGTCACCGGTTCTGTTCATAATTTTAATGGACAGAATTTCTAGGCGCAGCCAGGGGCCAGAGGGTGTCAGGTTTGGGGACCACACGATTTCGTCTCTGCTCTTTGTGGATGATGTTGTCGTGTTGGCCCCTTCACACCAGGACCTTCAGCATGCACTGGGAAGGTTTGCAGCCGAGTGTGAAGCGGCTGGGATGAGATTCAGCACCTCCAAATCCGAGGCCATAGTCCTCAGTCGGAAAAGGGTTGCTTGCTCACTTCAGGTTGGGGGAGAGATCCTTCCTGAAGTAGAGGAGTTTAAGTATCTTGGGGATTTGTTCACGAGTGAGGGAAGGATGGAAGGGGAGATTGACAGACGGATCGGTGCAGCCTCTGCAGTAATGAGGTCGATGTATCGGTCTGTCGTTGTGAAGAAGGAGCTGAACCGTAAGGCAAAACTCTCGATTTACCAGTCAATCTACATTTCTACTCTCACCTATGGTCATGAGCTTTTAGGTCATGACCGAAAGGACAAGATCCCGGATATAGGCGGCCGAAATGAGCTTTCTCCGCAGGGTGGCTGGGCGATCCCTTAGAGAAAGAGTGAGAAGCTCGGTCACTCGGAAGGAGCTCAGAGTAGAGCCGCTGCTCCTCCACATCGAGAGGGGTCAGCTGAGGTTGCTCGGGCATCTGTTCCGGATGCTTCCTGGACGCCTCCCGGGGAGGTGTTCCGGGCACGTCCCACTGGGAGGAGACCCTGGGGAAGACCTAGGACACGCTGGAGAGACTATGTCTCCCCGGCCCCGCGACCTGGCCCCGGATAAGCGGAACGGATGGATGGATGGGTCGTTGAGCTGTTCTGACATGTCCTAACATTTGTGCTTTTTTTTGTGCGTACACAGAATTTCCAGCAGAGTCCTTCAGGTAACTTGGGTCTCCCGTCACTCCTACACGTGTGTTTCCTTCTCTCACTTCCGTTTTTTTTCTCCTTTACTTCCGTTTTTAGCTCTCTTTTATTCTGCTATTTCCCCATTGGTTTCCGCCCATAAAGAAACGTGGAAAGCTGATATGGATCTTTTTGTCTCCATATCGCCACAGCATCTTTGATCATTATTTTACTGTTTATCACTGTAAAGCAGCTTTGAAACAATACGTATTGTATGAAGTGATAAAGATGACTTGAGTGATTCTCATCCTGACTTAGCAGATACACAGAGCACAAGTAAAAAACATTAATAAAACCTCAAAATCATTTTCACAGAATCGAAGGTAAGTTCCCATTTGTCAGTGGCAAAGCAAAAGCAAACACTGACTGATTATGCTACAAGCGGTGGATGTGCGACTTACCTTCAAGGACTCGACCTGCTGGCACAACATCTGCAGGAGTGACTTTTGGTCCTCGGCCCAGTGAGGAGTCGTTTTGGGTGAGAACTGGAGAAGGGAACAACAGTCAGGAACCACAACACGATGTAAACAGCAAGCAAAGCTTCTGCAGAAGCATCAGTGCCATGACATACCATGGATCTTTTAGATGGAGATGTGGAACTTTTGGATGGAGACGGAGTGGAGAACTTCACATGTGGCTCAGTGGGCTGACCGGGGCTGGACGTCAGCGGATAGTCCACATGATCTTCGTCCCGCTCGTCATCTTCTGCAAGCTGATGGTTGACCTCGTTCAGCATATCCATCACATCCTCCATAGATACAGGCA